CAGGAGTAACTTGTAAAGGTTTTTTTTGGATAATGATGTAGGACAAAGGATAAATTGTTAACAATACTGAGAACTGGGATTTTTTGGTATGGGAGAAAGAAGATACAGGTGTAAAATGATAAAATGAACTAAAAACCTTGTATTTAGTTTAAATTCCAAGAATCGGTATAAACACATAGACCATGTTGCCTAACAGAGAGCAAGGAAGCTATCAAATACTTATATTAAGGTCACCACCAAAGGACTTGGGAAATCCACTTGAAGAGGCTTTCACTGGCCAAAGATGGCACAACTCGTATACCAAGAAGGATATAATAGCCTCAAAGGACTAAAATATCTCAAGTATGTTTAAATTCCTGTTAGTTCAGAGTAATACTACAAACAAAAACCAAACCAAATGGTAACTTTTACAGAGCGATAATGAGTAACTCATTATTTTAAAAACTCTTAAATAAGGAAAATATCCAAGCATCTGTCTTGCCTTTCCTGTAGGAACTATTTCTCAAAGAAAGCAAATCACTGATAAAAGGGGGAATTTTATATTGTACAAACCTTAATGATGTTCTGAACAATGATCCTCAAAGACTATTTACATCACAGAAAGAGACAAGAAGATATTACCTATCTCCTGATGGAAGTATACAATATCATTTCTAAAGTGGTCTTCATCTAATGAAACCAGAACTTGATCAAATATTTGGACCAAACTACCAATGTACAGAAAAACAAGGTCAGAGTAACATGCTAAACAATACCAGGAAAATCCAGATTGCAATGCTCTACGGGTCAAATTAACCTGTTTTTTTTTCTTTTCAACAAAAATTTGCAAAGTGAAAAAAAGAATTAAGAGGGATGGAGAGGTAATCTAACAGATTAAGAGAGATTTAAGACTTATCAACCAAGAGCAATTCAAGCTCCAAGCAAAAGGCCACTGGAAAAATGTACACACTGATAGGATATATGAAGAAATCAACACATTGAAGGGAATTAATTATTTTCTACAGGAGTATGGTTAGTTATACCTAAAGAGTGAGGTCCCTAACTTTTAGAGATGCTTGCAGATTAAAAAAAGCAAACATAAAAAAAAGAACAAAAACCAAAAAACCAAGCATTAATATGTGATGATAGAAGAGGGACTGGGGCTTACTGAAAAGAATCTATATTGTACATCTAAAAGGAGCATTATGGCTCACACCTGTAATTCCAGCACTTTGGAGGCTGAGGCAGGTAGATCATTTGAGTTCAGGAATTTGAGAACAGCCTGGGCAACATGGCAAAACCCCAACTCTATTATACAAAAATTAGCTGGGTGTGGCAGCATGCACCTGTAGTCTCAGTTACTTGCGAGGCTGAGGTGGGAGGATGGCTTGAGCTTGGAAGACAGAGGTTGCAACGAACCAAGATCAAGATAGTACCACTGCACTGCAGCCTGGGTGATATAGTGAGACCCTGCCTCCAAAAAAAAAAAAAGAGAATTATAAATACAAAAAGACCATGTAAAATGTGGTGCTAATACAGAACCAAAAATAGGTTAAATGTATACTCAAAAAATCACTTTTAAGTCCTTAAAAGGAAGAGAGCAGATAGCTATTTCAACTTTAAATACAAAGCATTTTACAATAATATATAGGTGAAGAAAATAATTTTAGCTTTAAATCTGATGGAAACAAAGACGGTTTCTGTTTTTTTTAAAGAGACAGTGTCTTACTTTATAACCCAGGCTGAAGTGCAGTGATGCAATCATGGCTCACTGGAGCCCTGAAGTCCTGGGCTCAAGAGATTCACCTATTCGCAGCCTCCTGAGTAGCTGGCATTATAGGCTCAAGCCACCATGCCCAGCGTAAAGTTATTTACTAGTATTTTTGATATGATATTAAAGAAATTAGAATAGCCACTTAGTGGTCAATGGGTATCATATATATGTTCCTACTTAGAATTGGAACTAAATATAAATAAGAGCCATTTCTCTTATCATGTCCTTATGCTTGTAGTATCCTAACCTCTCATGGTTTCCTGGACATATGGGGTGCTTTTATACTCCTGAGCTTGCTATTAACATTCTGACAGGTTTGTTTTAACATGACAAATTCCTACCCATTCTTCAAGACTCAACTAAACCATAATGCTTGTAGTAAAACTCTCCAGCCATCCCAGAGTTAAACTGTCCAATATGTTGCAACAGCACTATGGAACTACCTTTCATAACAGTACTTATTTATACTGTAATTTATTTGTTTTTAGGGTCTGTGCCCCTCAGGAGTGATTTTTGTATTTCTATCTTCTAGCACATGTACCCTCCTAGAGGATGCTCAATAAATATTTGCAGACTAAAACTAAACTTATTAGCAATGCTATAGTGAAAAGCTATCACTTAAAAAAAATGGCATGCTCTAAGACTTATTCAATCTGTCTTATTCAGAAAAGACTACCAAGAAAAAGCTAAATCATCAGATTATGTAACACTGATCCTATTAGCAAGATAGAAAACTGTCAGACATCATTAACTCTTCCAGCAACTTGTTTATCTTGAAGTAATCTAAACACTTCATCTGAAGCAGTTATTCTTAAACTTGTTTATTTTTTTATCTTTTTAGACATGAGGTCTCATGATGTTGCCCAAGCTAGACTTGAACTACTAGGTTCAAGTAATCCTCCTGCCTCAGCCCTCCTGCACCACTGCAGACAGGCTTCTTAAACTTTTTGAAAAGTCAACAAACAGCTTTAGCACACTAACCATCCATCAGCTACTATTTGCCGTGAAAAAAACAAACAAAACACTCGAGACAAATGGAGAGAGTAAAACTGACAAGCAGTGAAGAAAGTTCCAAATTAACTTACAAACATACACTAAACAGAAAGAGATGGTCAAATTAAATGAATGAAGGAAAGAATCAGAAACAACCTAAAGCACTGATTTTTTTTAAAGAAACTTTTTGACAAATAGATTTTATACTATGATCAAGTACACATATATAGGTCACATATATGTAACTGCAAACAATATTTACCTCATACTAACATGGTAAACTATGATATATTTTATTCATTTTTTTTCGTTGAAAAGAAAAACAGGCCAGGCGCAGTGGCTCAGGCCTGTAATCTCAGCACTTCGGGAGGCCGAGGTGGGCAGATCACAAGGTCAAGAGCTCAAGACCATCCTGGCCAACATGGTGAAACCCTGTCTCTACTAAAAATACAAAAATTAGCCGGGTATGGTGGCCTGCGCCTATAGTCTCAGCTACTTGAGAGGCTGAGGTGGAAGAATTGCTTGAACCCAGGAGGCAGAGGTTGCAGTGAGCTGAGATTGTGCCACTGTACTACAGCCTGGAGACAGAGCAAGACTCTGTCTCAAAAAAAAAAAGGAAAAGAAAAGAGAAACAAAAAACCTACTAAAATGATCCACGGTCCCACTATTGGGTTGAGATTTAAAGTTTCATCATTGCTGTCCTATAGATACTTTGCATACTACGCAGGCAGTCATAATCATACAAAAATCTGTACATGAAGTTTACAATAAAGTATAATATCTATAACATATCACAAAAATATGAATAGCAAATATAGATTGTAAAAGATATGGTAATTTCTGCTATCAATTACAAGAGTGAAATGGAATCTTTGATATCTAAGAAATGATGGGTATTATGTCTATCAAGACAAATGCTGGCCAGGCTCAGTGGCTCACACCTGTAATCCCAACACTTTGGGAGACCAAGACCAGGGAGATCACTTGAGGTCAGGAGTTCGAGACCACTGGCCAACTTGCTGAAAAAAATACAAAAATTAGTCAGGGATGGTGGCACATGCCTGTCATCCCAGCTACTCAAGAGGCTGAGGCAGGAGAATTACTTGAACCCAGGAGGCAGAGGTTGCAGTGAGCTGAGATTGTGCCACTGTACTACAGCCTGGAGACAGAGCAAGACTCTGTCTCAAAAAAAAAAAAAAGACAAATGATTAGCCCTAGACCTCTTAAAAAAAAAAAAATGACTCAAGGCAAACAGTCTGACCTGAGTACTATCAAAGGAATTAAAATTTTTAGTTTAACCAACATTCTTTTCAACTTTTCCTTCAAGTCTAAGGTTTATTTTAAAAGTTCTTCTTAATTAAACTGTAAGACGGTAAGGCTTTAAAAATAATTTTCATAGGTATCCACCCCAAACTCAAATTCAAGACAAGTCATTCTCTTTCTAACAGATTATTACTTCTAAGCTTCTACTATACAGAAATACTACAGCTGCCACTAAATTCAAGTCACTTAAAAATAAAACATCTCTTTTTAACAGTCAATTATATAATCACATTCTTAATTTTCTTTTACTAAAAATAAATACTGAACCATATTCTCTACAACGTACCATTAAGCAATGAAGTTCTTTCCATCACTTATATAGATCCACATAAACATAACTCTTAACACAAAACATTTTTGCTAAAAGTTAGTGGTTCTAAAGGAAAATTTTCATGAAACTATAAATGACAGAAACTTAAATATAAAAGCATTCCAAAATAAAGAATACTTTTATATGTCAAATAAAATTGCCATTTACTTTTTACAAGACTGCCATAGACACATGAAGTTCTGTCCAGGTTTTCTCACTGGATCTCCATGCTGACTGGATGCACTGAATGGAGAAGGCTGAGAACTGTTAGGCTGGCCCTGCACTTGTACAGCTGGTGAAGGTGGCATAGGAGTGTTCTGTGAAAAAGAACAAATGTAGAGTTTGTGACATGATGCTGAAAAACATTTATATTTTATAGTACAGTCTTACAAATTTGATTACATTAACAGTTATGCATTTCTACCATAAAATTTACTCTTTATAATTTTAAGTTTATGATTATCTTTAAAAGGATAATTACTTTTAAAGAAATATTTAGAAAGTTTGATTATTTTATTTAATATGAAACCATAAAGGCAATACCACATTATTACTACTGTAAAATATATATTATTTAAAATGAAGATTTTTAGGATGAAACACATAGATTTAAAAGAAATATATATACTATAAATGTACCCACTGGATTTACTTATGTGAATTCTTCACAAAAACAGATCAACTGCAAATTACTACTTCTTTGTATATTTCCTTTTAGATTTTTGTAACGAATATAAAGTGAAACAATATGGTAAAAAGCAATGAAAATTTTAGTTAGCAAAAAATGGTGTAATCATATAAATCTATCACATTAACTAATTTGCAGCAAGCTGCTTAACAATTTTAGATTTTGAGGTTACTCAATTATGTATTTTTTATTTTTAGAGACTCACACTGTCACCTATAAATCCCATCCCTTTCTCTTAGAAAAAAACACTAATAATTACAATGTGCCTTAAATCAATTTTAAGCAATATATATTTTTTAAATACCACAAAGGGGAAAACTACTATTAAATTTCTTATAGAAATGGTAGTATATCATTTTTGAGGAACTGCTTAAAAGTCATAAATTAAAATCCTGGGAAAACACAAAATACACTTGTTCTTTATAAGGTACACAGTTATTCATTGCTTAGTGACAGGAATATGTTTGAGAAATGGGTCGTTAGGTGACCCATTTCGTTGTTCTGTGAATGCCATATAACGTACTTCCACAAAACTAGATGATTTAGCTTTATACATACCTAGGCTATATGGAATACCCTATTGCTCCTAGGCTTAAAACCTGTATAGCATATTATTGTACTGAGTACTATAGGGAACTGTAACACAATGGTTAAATATTTGTGTATCAAAACATAGAAAAAGTACAGTGAAAATATGATATTATAATCTTCTGAGATTATCATTATATTATGTGGTCCATCCTTGACAGAAATGTCTTTAAGTAGCACTTGACTGTACTGGAAATAGGTGGGCAAGCAGAAAGCTAAAATTGCTGAGAACTTAAGATTAAAAGCCATGGTAATTTTCTTTAGGAAAAAATAGATAAATCGCAAGCACACAAGGCTACTATAACATACAAATGAAAGAAAACTAACATGCTGAAAAACAAAGCTATCAGAAATGGGAAGTCATAAGAACTTCTAAGTTCCCAATTCTGAGGGAAAAAACTACTTTGAGATTGATGTTTCTATAATAGGTTCCCACTCTTATACATGTATCAAAAATATTTTAGGGCAGCACAAAGGTCACACAGATAGGATGAGGATTTTCCAGCTTGACATATCAGGACTTACACTTTCAATTAGACTTTTAACTAGCCATGTGATCTTGGGCTACCTGCTTAACCTCTCTGATCCTCAGTTTTCTTGTGTAAGTAATAAAAACTAACTTAAGAGATGCTGGGAAGACTAGAGAAACTATACATGAAAAGCCTAACTCGAGATTCTTAATAAATGGCAATAATGATAGGAAAACATATTTTGGAGGAAAAATGATCAGTTTAGTTTGGGAACAATGACAGATGAACCAACTAAAAATGTCTATCAATAGAAGTTAATGTTGGAAAAATAAATCTGAAAACCATTCACCTGCAAATTCTAAGACCCATAAAAACTCTGGACCAGGTGCACAGTGGCTCACCCCTGTAATCCTAGTACTTTGTGAGGCCGAGACGAGCAGATCATGAGGTCAGGAGATTAAGACCATCATGGCAAACATGGTGAAACCCCGTCTCTACTAAAAATACAAAAAAATTAGTTGGGCATGATGGTGCATGCCTGTAGTCCCAGCTACTTGAGAGGCTGAAGCAAGAGAACTGCTTGAACCCAGGAGGCAGAGACTGTGCCACTGTACTACCATAGCCTGGGCGACAGTGCAAGACTCCATCTCAAAAAAAAAAAAAAAAAAAAAAAAAAAGTCTGATTCTGAGAAAATAGTGTGGGAAGAGGGGTTAAAGAGCAAGAGCAAGGAAAATGTAAGGGGAAGGTTTCTTTCTTTCTTTTTCTTTTTTTAGATAGAATTTTGCTATGTCACCCAGACTGGAGTGCAATGGCATGATCACAGTTCACTGCAGCCTTGAACTCCTGGGCTCAAGCAATCTTCCCACCTCTGCCTCCTGAGTAGCTCTATCTTCTGTGGTTGAGATAAATAGGATGGTGAATAAACTAGACACCATGACACCTAAAATTGAAGGAACCGGGAAAGAGCATTCTAAAGAAGAAGTGAGAAGGAAAGACACTTTCCAAAACCCTTGTAAGGAACAAGAATTGTATTTACTCTGACTGTGATATAAAAGAGATACCTTTAGCTAGGCCAGACATGGTGGCTCATGCCTGTAATGCCAGCACTTTGGGAGGCCAAGGTAGAAGGATCACTTACTTGAACCCAAAAGTTTGAGACCAGCCTAGGCAACATGGTGAAACCTTGCCTCTACAGAAAATACAAAAATTAGGCAGCTGTGGTGGCATGCACCTATAGTGTCAGCTACTCAGGAGGCTGAGGTGGGAGGATTGCTTAAGCCCAAGAGGCAGAGATTATAGTGAGTCAGAAGTGCACCATGGCACTCCACTCTAGGCAACAGAGCGAGGCTTTGTATAATAATAATTTTAAAAATATTTAAAAAGAGAGAGGGAGACAGAGATGCATTTAGCTAAACGTATAAGTCTTTAGAGAAGAAAATTAAGGCATTAATAGAAATCACTGGAAAACAGAGAATTTTTGTGAATGGGGGCAATTTGTTTCAACTCTTAAAAGTAGGAGTTTTGGCTAAGATAATATCAAAGACCCTTTCAGCTCTAATATTCCTCCATTTTCTTAAAAAGTTTTTACCTCTTATTAAGTATAAATTTAGATCATCAGTACATGCCAACCCTGCTTTATAAGAACAAATTAAAATACAAACAAAAAAGTTATATAATACTTTCCCTAGTTTTTATAATATGCTACTGGTCTACAAATCTGAGTAGCAGTACTCTTAGAAAAACATAAATGATATTCTTATGGGTCTTGCTATACTGTTCTTTTATGGCTACAACTAAATGCTGCCCCCTGAGGCTACCAATCTGCTTTCTGATGGGTCGAGTAACTTTCTCAAGCTCTTTACCAGTAAGATACCAATATTCCATGTTACACAGTACCATTATCAGAAATGATTCACATTCTGAATTCATGCAAGGCATATGTTAAGTATCATAAATATGTACATCTTTAAGTAAAGTATTTTTATGCATAAGTATTTGGCATGTTATCAGATTATGGGATTAACAGATAACTGACAGATTGTGTTCAACACACATTTGTATGATCCTGAAAAAAAAAGTCTTAAGTTTTTATATCTAAGTTTCTTTCATTTTGTAAATTCATTTTAATTTTTAATATGCCATTTAGCCAATATGTTTCCAACAGATACCAATTCATGAAAGTGGAACAGGGCAGGGCTTCTGGAAACAATATCCTATAAATTGTGCTTCAACTTGCAATTATTACATTTGAAATACCAATAAAGAAATGTGCCCTGAAATAGGTACAACTTATTTTATATTTGTATCAACTGCCCAGTTAAATACTACTTAAATATAAAATCAATGGCTATATCATTTACTTTTACATATATTATTTTTACTTGTTGCTGTTTTTTTTTCTGTAATAAAATTAATATAGCTGATTAATGGAGGATGAAAGAAACAAAACTGAGAAGAAAAAACATGAATTATAATGGCATTAGAAAGGATTACTTGTTGTTCCTTCTTGGCAGGGACACTTCCCTGCACTCTTTCCAGCCCTGAGCATTCTTCAAGTCTGGAAATCCCTTACTGGGGTGCAAGTACCTCCCTTGAAATTGTAAAATAACAAGTTTTCTCCAAAAATCACATTTAAAACCCTCTACTCCTTTAAGCTACCAATTCAAATAGTGAATAAAACAGTATTAATCCAAAGTCTAACATGCAACTTTAAAGAGTATATAAAGAAATTTGGCTGGGCACAGTGGCTCCACGCCTATAATCCCAGCACTTTGGGAGGCTGAGGTGGGCAGATCATGAGGTCAGGAGTTCAACACCAGCCTGACCAACACAGTGAAACCTAGTCTCTACTAAAAATACAAAAATTCAGCTTGGCATGGTGGTGGGCACCTGTAATCCCAGCTACTCAGGAGACTGAGGCAGAAGAATCACTTGAACTCAGGAGGTAGAGGTTGCAGTGAGCCAAGATCACACCGCTGTACTCCAACCTGGACGACGGAGTAAGACTCCATCTCAAAAAAAAAAAAAAAAGAGTATATAAAGAAATTTAAATACTGTGGCTCACATCTATAATCCCAGCACTTTGGGAGGCCAAGGCGGAAGAATCATTCGAGTCTACTACAAGTTTAAGACCAGCCTGGGCAACATAGAGAGATCCCATCTCTACAAAAATAAAAAATAAAACAAATTAGTTGGGCATGGCAGTACGTGCCTGTGCTCCCAGCTACAGTCTTGGGAGGCTGAGGTGGAAGGATTACTCGAGCCAAGGAGGTCAAGGCTGCAGTGAGCTGTGATTGCACCAGTGTACTCTAGCCTGGTCAACAGAGTGAGACCCTGTCTTCCCCACCCAAAAAAGAAAGAAATTTAAAGGACAGGAGCAATAATGGAAATGACTTTCTCTTATTTCGCATGCTCTTCAGAAGGCCCAACAGCCTTCTATTCTAAAGAAACTTATAATGCCATCTTGAACAGTTAATATTTTTTCTGTTAAAAATATTTAGCCCCAACAGATACTTCATCTTTTATATAAAGATAAAGCATACCTTCCCCATTACCAAGTGCCCATATATGGAGCAGGCACTGGGCCAAGTGCTATATATAAGAATGCTGTTTTTGTTATTCTCATCCTCATAGATACCATGCATGCTACATCTTTTCCTTTGCAAAGATTTTAATTTCTACAAGACAAGCAAATATCAGTTTTAGAAATAAAGAATGTACCTATTTTAAATAAACTATATTCTTTGTGAGAATGTAAGGAAGATTAATACAGATTTTTTCAGATTAGGAACAAAATGTATTGATTGTTTGGCCTGACTTAACTACATATATGTCCAATGTGCTAGGTAAAGCATTTTAGCATTAACGTCCTAAAATTATCATTTAGTAGAACATCCTTTAACATCACAGCTCAAATAATCAATGAGTTTTAGCACTAATGTCCTAAAATGATCATTTAATAGAACATCTTCTAACAGAACAGCTCAAATCATCAATATGTTAGATTTTTAAAAAGGGCTTTAGAGCTTTATAAAGAAATCTTCTAGAATAGTGGAGAGAAGAAAGGTTAATGGGTTAAAAGCATGAGTTTTGGTTTCAGATACACCCAGGTTTCTGTCCTGATACCACCTCATATTATTTGGTAACCTTGGGTAAGTTATTAGCCTTCTTGAGTCCTCATCTTTATAATTTTTACCTAATAAGGTTGTGTGAGGATTAAATGAGAAACTTCTTTAGTATAAAGTCCCTACCACATATCCTCACCTTAGCTAGTATTATTGTTCATTCTTTGTAATTGTGATATTACTGACTACAATCACAATGGAAGATTAAGGGCACAAAAAAATGAGTGTTGATGAAACGATTCCATAGTGATATAGTTTCTCTCTAATTTGGTCTGTTATAACTATTAGGATTGTAAAGGTCTCTAAGAGGAAAGACAGGCACATAATCAAGGTAAAATGGGAAATTATTAAATATAAGGGGAAAAAATCTAACTAGGGAATGTCTACTATGTACTCGACACTGCATGCACTACTTGAAAAAAATGTGTTTTAGTGGAAAACTCAACATGTGGAAGTATGTTTGAAGAAAAATGATATAGTATTTTCCATCTCAGGATTAATTATTGCCAGGTCTATAACGTCCCTCAAAGCAGAAGTCTCCAACCTTTTTGGCACCAGGGACTGGTTTCATGGAAGACAATTTTTCCACAGACCAGGGAGTGAGGAGATGGTTTTGGGGTGATTCAAGCACATTATACTTATTGAGCACTTTATTTCTATTATTATATTGTAATATATAATGAAATAATTATACAACTCACCATAATGTAGAATCAGTGGGAGCCCTGAGCTTGTTTTCCTGCAACTAGATGGTCCCATCTGGGGGTGATGGGAGACAGTGACAGATCGTCAGGCATTAGATTCTCATAAGGAGCGCACAACCTGGATCCCTTACATGCACAGTTCATGATAGGGCTTGTGCTCCTATGAGAATCTAATGCTGCCACTGATCTGACAGGAGACAGAGCTCAGGAGATAATGTGAGTGATGGGGAGCGGCTATAAGTAGATACAGATGAACCTTCACTCGCTCACCTGCCACTCACTTCCGGCTGCGTGGCATGGTTCGTAATGGGCCACGGACTGGTCCGTGGCCCAGGTATTGGGGGCCCCTGCCCTAAAGAATACACAGTTTAGTCACTCTAAATTAGATTCAGACAATATAAATATATAAATTAAAATCTTATTATGCCCCACAGCACACTGCCCAACTTTATCCTTTTTTTTTTTTTGAACTTCAAGAAGGCAACTTTATTCATTCACATGAAGAAAGATGCATATTAGTAATATCCATCAGCAACTGCAAGAGCAATAACTGTTCTGAAGCAAAGGGCTCTTCCTTTTGTTCTTGTACTTTCCATTTGGCTGCTGCCCACACCTAGGTTTGGTACTAATGCCAACAATGGCCATCTATCTGCTGTCATCACCGTAAGCATACAGAAGAAACTCAAGCCAGAACTGGGCTAGCAGAGTTGGCAGTAGTCACAGAAGGTTCTGGCTATGCAGGAATGAAAAAAAAAAAAAAAACAAAACAGAGTGAAACTGATCCAGGAAATAGGTGGTGACAACTGTTAAGAGAATCCATGAGTTCAGTCGAAAGAACATGTAAGATTGTCATCAAAATCTTTATAGCCTGATTGGACCCTCAATTTAGTAGTGCTGATTTTAGAAAATACTTGTATTTACTAAGGCATGCAGAGATGGAATATTAGGCATTAAAAAGAGAATAGCAGGAATATGACAGTAAAGCAAAGGAGTAAGAAACAGAAAAAAGTATCAGAATACCTGAAACAAACAGAAATTACAATAAATACTTTTTTAACACTAAAGGAGGCTAATTCAATACATAAATACAAAAAGAATACGACTGATAAAGTTATTACAAGATTCATCCTTATTACAAAAAGTACTATTAAAGGGGCCACTAAAACACATTCAGGTCAAAATCAAATACAGAAATCCCCATTTAGAGTACTTATTCTTAGAACCTCCATTCCCCCAACCCCTGGGCATTATACTCAAGAAAGAGATTAAGATACATTTTTTAAATTCTCCAAAAGATGTTAGATTAGCAACTGCTTCTCTACCTTGAGCCTACAAAATTATTAGTTTGAATCTATAACAAAATTGAAAGATTCTTTAAATCATGTACTAAAATTGAAAACTAGTATTATATCACCAGAGAAAAAGAACAGGACAGTTTGGATACAAGTGAGCTGATAGAGTAACTTTTCAAGGTGAGACATGAAAAACAGTGCATTTCCCTCTAAAACCTTATTTACAGATCAGAAATTTTATAAGAGAAATACGATCATAGAATAACTTACCTGTGGGACCATATTCTGTACGTATGTTGGTGGATGCTGTTGCTTTTGCTGAACAGCACTTTCTATTGCTACTTTAGCTACAGTGCTTGGATCTGCTCCAGCTGGCACAGCAACCATTGTTGCACTACAGCCAGCATTGTTGGGGTCACTGATTGTAACAATTCTAACTCCTACTTTATTTGGAATTCCTGTGACTGTTTCCCTATCATTATCCTCTGCTGGCCTCTTTACAGTTTTGCATTCTGCTGTGCCATTTGTAGACCGAACATCAGATGAAAGGGCAGGAGAAGGGGACACTTTTGATCCTGAGTCGGGAACTGCTAAGATTTGATGTCCCTGTATAACAGAGGTTGTAGAATGTGGTGAGACAACTACACTTGGGCGTTGCTGAGGCACATCTGAATTCAAACAGGAAGCTAGAGGTCCATTAGGAAAATCAGTACCACTAAATTGTTGTGTTGCCATATTTGAAGCCTCCTGTATACTGCTCACAGATGATGAACCACCCAAAGTTAATACAGGTCCATTAGGAATTCTTTCCAGTTGATCACCTTTGGCAGTATCTTGCTGAGTGACGTCTAAAGTCCCTTGAGGTTCCACTGGAGATATCTCACCATTTCCTACATGATTGGAAGTTTTGTGATTTGGAATGTTTTTGCTTAAATGAGAACCATCTCCTTTATCAAAATCACAGATTCCATTAACTAGCGGTTTTTTCAAATCACTTTTGATATCCTGCATGTCTATTTGTTCTGAGTTCTGTTTTCCAGATGCTCCATTCTCACCTAATTCCACTGACGGCCCATTACTGATTAGTGAGCACTGATTAGTCTCACTTTGAATCTTCCCTGAGTTTGAAGGAGGTAGACTTGAGTCACTGTACTTTCTCCCATTTAAAAGACTTCCCAACTGCATTTCATTTTCCTTTGTATCCCCATTGCTGGTGTTTGTGGTTCCTCGTCGGCAGGACGGGTTCTCCATGACTTCAATTTTACGTTCGTGAACATGTAAACCTGTTGCTTCCTTTGCTTCCTCCTCCTTTTGGCAAATTATTTTATCACCTTTGAATGGGGGAGTAGCAGTAGTACAGGATGATTGTCCAGCAGGAGATGCTTGAGTGGCTGGAAGTGTTTGCACTGGAAGTCCAACTCCTGGTTGCGTTCCGCTCATGGTAATGCCTGCTGGAGCAATGAGCTGAGTTGCATTTCCCTGACTCACGGTTGCAGTTGCAAAACTTGTATTTGGCACAACTGTTATGGTTACCTGGTTGCCAGAAGTCCCTTGGAAAATGGTTGCTGGGCTATTTGAGATCAGTGGGCCTGGCAATATTTGTAAGTTCGAAATGGGCACAGTTTGTACTCCCCCTGTGGATGGCATTGCACTTTGGACCAACTGAACATTTTGCTGCCCAACCAATAGCTGCTGAGCTGGAGTTTGCCCCTGCACTCCAAAACCTGTGGCTTGGTTACTGGCCACCTGATAGACCACCTGAGGGCTAGGCGCTCTTGCATTATTAGGGGGAGGAATCTGTGGAGCTGGAAGAATAAGCTTACCACCTGGTGTTGAAGGACCACGTTTTGGAAGCAGAAGCTGTTTAATCAGACTCGACTCACCAGAAGCAGGCTGACCAACTCCTGCATTTGACTGCTGAGGTTGAACTTGCATCTGTACTTGTTGGGGCTGCTGAACTTGTACTTGTACCTGCTGTGGTGGGGGTGCTGGTGAATGCTGCTGCTGTTGCTGTCTTTTCACAGATAACATTTGACTGACAGTAGGGGGTGGTCCCTGTGATTGAGAGGTGGAAGAAGACGACATGGCAGTAGGGACTTGGTTATTAGTAGCTGGGACAGGTGATGGTGAAGATGATGGAGTTATGCTAGGTTGTCCAGTTAGCTGAACTGTCTGACCAGTTGGAAGAGCTGCTGGATTAGCAAGAACAATTTGGTGAATGGCTGGTGCATAAGTCTGACCTTGTTGAGCTGGCTGGCTTACAATTACTACACTTTGTTGGGTTGGCTGCTGTGGTTGTTGAATAGGCTGCTGTACTACTGTTGATGAAATTTGCTGAGAAGGGAGAGGTTTTGGTGCAATGTTCTGAAAGCCTACCCTTGAGGGTTGTGGACTTGGGACACCAGCAATGGTAACCATTTGTCCTGTAGTTACCTGAAAATTCTGTACTGAAGTTGCTGAGACAATATTGGATGCAGGAGTTGTTACGTACTGTGGGGGTGCTATGATAACAGTATCTTGTGACTGGCTACCAGTTGATGTCTGTTGAGATGAAGTTTGCACAGGTTGAGGTGATGTGGTGATTAACTGTTGACCCTGTGAAACTGTAGAAGTACAAGCTGGTATGTTCTGTACTCTGCCAAATATATGACTCTGTGGGACAGCTTGCTGAATTACTGTAACAGGAGTGCCTGAAGGGATCTGTCCTGGTACCACTGTGTGTAAGGGAGACTGTTGTGGAATTACAGATGGATGGTGAAGCAATGTCTGAGAATTCACAACTGTAACAGGTTGTGGCCCTGTACTATGATTCTGAACCACAGAACTCTGTGGAGGTCCTCCTCCAACAGCAATGCTAACAGGAACTGTTGTCTGGGGTATGGAATTCTGGATAACTGTAGCCTTAACTACTTCACAAGGAATTGGAGCTTTATTTTGAATGACAGTCACTGAAGCATTTTGTTGCTGGTGGGTATGAACTGAAGGATTTGGTGGAATTCTTGAAACAGTTTGTGCCACAGTATGAACACCTTGTACTGGAAAAGACATTTGTGTTGCAGTCAAATTTGAAGATTGGTTGGGAACAGGAGTCCTCTGAAAATGGTTTCCTATGGTTTGTGATCCATGAGGGATTCCTGAAAATATGAAGAAAACATCAAAACTCCAAATGAAATGACTGAAAAGCCACAAGTAGGAATTACTTTACTTCAGAGAAAATAGTTTTAAGAAATTAACATGCAACAATTTTGAATCATATGTATATGATAAAATAACAGACAAAGTAAGAAAATGCTACTGGAGAAACAAAATAAACTTATACATTTAAAATGCATAGAATATATATTTTTCATTCAGTTTTATTATTAAATCAGTAATACTTAATAAATACAATAAAAATTAACACCTGCAGGTGAAGGTGCGGGAGATACATCCGGAACAGAATCAACACGAACAACAGAAGTAGTAACTGGCTGCTGCTGATAGTACATCTGAATGGGAAGTGGGATAGCCCTCCGTTTTACTCCTACCACATGAATATGAGCCTGCCCGTTGTTACTGGAATCCTCCACTCTCTTCACTGTATGATTCGGAAAGACCGTTCTGTGAAGTACACACATAATCAGTACTGATAACTATCACACTGACTTCTAACATTATGTTTACATGAACAACAGCAGTATGTTTACTTATGTATGAATCAATATGATTCATAGTTATATTTTACAAGGATGGGAAGCAGAGAAGGAAATATAAAAGATTATTCCTCCAATTAAAAAAATCACTATTTATTAACAATGTTGCTGGGTTTTAAACAATTCTACCCTATAACTAATAAAAGATACCTATTTTTATGAACTTTGCGAAATATCAGAAAGTCTTTGTATTGAAGATAATAATATTTTATACTATTATGCAACATTAAAAACATATAAAGTCATGTCTTTAACGCGTAAAAGTAGGGAAAAAAAGTAAACTTCATTTCTTTCTTTTCTTTATTTGATAAACCTCATAATGTTCCAATACAAGCACCAGATGTGATTTCTGAAATTGCTTTTTATTTAAACCTCCACCACACTACATAACCTATCCATACAAAATTTCTAGTAGTAAAGATATTTAAAACTAGATACATATTTGGTATTTTCTTTAAAGAGCAAGAGATGTTGTAAGTGATGTAAATGGACTTTATTTAAAGAACTATGCATCCTACCTAAGACATTTATAAAATCCAGTTGATGTCAAGATTCCACCACGAGCTAATTTACTGCAAGTTGAGAGGTATTCAGAATACATTTCTGCTCGAGAAACAGAACAATCTGGATTTACTTCAAAATGAGCATTTAGCCTAAAAGAGGAGAAAATTAAGCATTATACAATATACTCTAGGAAAGTGTATACTTAAATATACTAAAGCCATGTGGAAACAATGTGTTAAAACTAATAATTACACCAACTAATCAAATTTCACTGATTCATACGTTAGTACCTTCTAATCAAATTTCACTGACTCATATGTTTGTACCAAGGATATATGCTAAATTTCAGATTAAATCAAGAGATTAACATACTTATTTTAGTATTAAAAATGTCACTGACAACAAATACCAGTGAAAGCAGGATTGTGAGCACCTGATCAGCAAAAAAATCTTCTACAAGAAATAGTTTTATTTAGTGAATACCTATTCGGGATCCTGTCATGTAATAATCATAAAATAAGTTCCCAATTATGAGCTATTTGCATTAGAGCTGAAGAAAATGGGGGGAACTGAAGTAAGGTTAAACTTTTCTTGGTTTTTGGATCAAATTCCTTCAGAAAACTTACCCAAACTTTTCAGTTACTTTCTAAAACAATGACACTTCCCAAGCTGCACACTCTCAACCCCCATTTCAAAAAGACTTTTTTTTTTTTTTGAGATGGATTCTTGCTCTGTCACCCAGGCTGGATGGACTGCAGTGGCGTGATCTTGGCTCACTGCATCCTCTGTTTCCTGGGTTCAAGTGATCCTCTGACTCAGCCTCCTGTTTCCCGGCTATAGGCACGTGCCACCAGGCCTAGCTAATTTTTTTATATTTTTAATAGAGACGGGGTTTCACCGTGTTAGCCAGGGTAGTCTCAATCTCCTGACCTTCCACCCACCTCGCCTCCCAAAGTGGTGGGATTACAGGTGTGAGCCACTGGGCTTGGCTTCAAAAACACCTTTAATTTGCTAATCCATTACAAACTAATTCAAACTTCATTTTGTCTTTTTCTTAAAATGACCTTTACCTATAAATTGGGAATGGAGGCCTAATTACCCTGATAGGCTCTTTCCATAATTCGCTATGTAAAATAGGCCAAACTTAGCTGTTTCTGAAAAACTAAATCAAATAGTAATTATGATTTAAAAAAAAAAAAAAAAAACTATAAAATGATTCCCTTCCCTTTTTCCAAGAACTAGCAGGAACGTGCAACTGGGATTTATAAGACTGCATCTATGCTTAACACACACATATTTTATAGTGGTTACGGTGTGTATTCTTTACAACTTTCATAATTCTGTCTGTACTGAAATTTCAAAAAGAATAGATATAAAAACCTCATTTTGGTTGCAATGGAGAAGACAAACATTTCCAAATATTATTGGAAAAGCTTCAAGTATAAGAGACCCATGTTTAAAAATATAGAAGTTGAGGAAAAAGCAAACAATTAGAGATATTTAAAACCATAAACCATAGAAAAGTCTGGAGAAAACTGTCACAGGAACAAAGACATGTATGAAAGCACCAAAAATATGGAACAGAGAGTGACATGAGCATGAAATGGGAGAAAATAATGTTAGAGAACGGCAGAAAAGGGATTAAGAAAAGAAAATTTTAAATTGATATATCATTGGAAATGATTGTGTACTTCAATTTGTTAATCTCCTAAAGAACTTAAGCTGAATTTCATACTAATGTTGAGGCAACTATCCGTAACAAGTGAAATTTTTTAAACTCTACATTTGTTTTTTTTTTTTGTTTGTTTGTTTGTTTTTCAGAAAGTGGCAGAGATATGACTACAAATCTTTTCAAGGAAGTATTATTGTCAAGCTACTATTCACACAGCCAAAAAATTGTTAATAAATAAGAAGTTTCGCTTTAGATAGAAGAGAAGAGACATTCAAAAATACCTGGTTTTATTTTCTTAAGGTCAATTCAATTCAGTTTTAACAAAACGTTAATTTTAGAAGAAAAAATTTGGTCACCTGACAAACTGTACTTTCTACAAAGTGAAAGATAACTTTTTAACACAAATTTTACTCTGAAAAAAGTTATATGGTATAATTTAATGAAATTCTAGTCATACTATTTTAATTCTGAAAATTCTGATGAATATTTTTCTTTCAAATTATTTCAATATACAAAGAATGTGATTTTACAGTGTCCTTTCTTTCTATAAATTATATTCTACTCTAAAAAGGAATACAGAGTAAAACATTCTGGATGTCTGTACAATACATTTCCTTTTTATCTTTGCTTTACTCTTCCCAAGGATAAATTCTTAATAGAAATAAACCACTTACCACTGACAAGCAAACTTCTCACTATCTATTTCCACTATTCCTGGAGGTGGAGCAACATGCTGTGCTACGACTGCTCTGGAAGCTAAAGAAAAAAATACATTAGCTACATAATTTCTTAAAACTTAGTCACTATATGCCATACTTACTTTATGGATATTAAAACCATTAATACAATGAATACCTTTTTAAAAGGTATATAAACATACAAAGGTATACACATTGAAGAACAAATCTAATATATAATGGAGCACATATCATACCAGGCACTGTTTTAGAAGATTCATATGAACTATTTTGTTTAACCTCACAATTATTCAAATAATAACAATTAATATGAATGATTTTAGCTAATATAGCCTCTATTATTCCCATGGGCCAGACATTGAACTAAATACTTTACAATATCTGCTTACTTAATTCTTCCATGAGGTGGGTACAGATTGAAAACTGATGCTCAAAAAGTGATTTTAAAAATTAGCCCAGGTTCATACAGTTCAACACATAAGTAAGTTGAGCATCTTTCAGTTTAGTTATGGAAGCAGAATGCATCAGAAATTATAACTTCACTCCTTAATTTAAATAACTAATAGGCCAGGCATGGTGGCTCATGCCTGTAATCTCTGCACTTTGGGAGGCCAAGGCAGGCGGATTGTGGGGTCAGGAGATGGAGACCAACCTGGCCAACATGGTGAAACCCCATCTCTACTAAAAATAAAAAAGTTGGCTGGGTGAGGTGGCATTCGCCTATAATCCCAGAGGCAGGAGAATCACTTGAACCCAGGAGGCAGAGGTTGCTATGAGCTGAGATCACACCACTGCACTCCACCCTAGCAAAAGAGCAAGACTCCATCTCAACAACAAAAAAAATCAGTAACTCTATTAAGTGACACATATAAAATTTTTGGAATACAGTGAACAAAAGCTGAACTAATTTAAAGTCCCATATTCAAAAAAGGATTTCCATATTTTTCTGAGGAGGAAAAAAAAGAAGATATCTGTTGTAATAATAAATTTGAGTTATACTTTTTTTCTGAAAGAGGCAACATGGTTGTATAAAAATGTACTAATTATTAATCTTAAGATACAATTTCTTAAATTTCATCTATGACATATTTTAAGTTTCAAGGTCAATGAATACATGAAGTAAATCATTTATTATTTTGTAACATGTTGAAGAGCTCTGTAGAAAAATTATGTATGTTATCTTTTCTTCTCTACTATGTTATATAACGGAACTAAAGAAACCATGAAAAATATAAAGTAAAAATAATGTCTGAATCATATATTTGTAAATTAAAATTAAAATTAGTTATCCTTTATCACTATAGATCAGCATTACTTTGTAGGTTTTTTAAAAACCTGTTATGTGACATGGCAATGTAGTTTTTTTTTTTTGACAGAGTTTCGCTCTCATTGCCCAGGCTGGAGTGCAATGGCGCAATCTCGGTTCACCACAATCTCCGCCTCCTGGGTTCAAGCAATTCTCCTGCCTTAGCCTCCTGAGTAGCTGGGATTATAGCCATGCACCACCATGCTTAGCTAATTTTGTATTTTTAGTAAAGAGAGGGTTTCTCCATGTTGGTCAGGTGGGTCTCAAACTCCTGACTTCAGGTGATCTGCCCGCCTCAGCCCCCTAAAGTGCTGGAATTACAAGCTTAGGCCACCACACCCAGCCTGCAATGTAGTTTTTAAACATACAGAACAGGCCAGGTGCAGTGGCTCACGCCTGTAACCCTAGCACTTTGGAAGGCTGAGGCAGGTGGATCACGAGGTTACGAGTTCAAGATTAGCCTGGCCAATACCGTGAAACTCTGTCTCTACTAAAAATACAAAACTTGGCTAGGTGTGGTGGCACACACCTATAGTCCCAGCTGCTTGGGAGGCTGAGGAACGAAAATCACTTCAACTTGGGAGGCGGAGTTTGCAGTGAGCCAAGATCGCACCACTGAAAGGTGGCTGAGCAAGACTCCATCTCAAAAAACAAACAAACAAACAAACAAAAACCATACAGAATATACCCAATTTTTTTCAGATGATATTTTAGCAAAGCTTCTCAGAACCCTCAAACAGAACAAATTCATTTCTAAATTACTGGAACTAGACAAGCGCCATAGCATAGCCAAATGTGTGAATGATCTGAGGCAATCAAGACCTTTGATGAATGCCCCATGCTTTCTTCGAGGTTAACAGCTAATTGTAGCCACTTAATAAACACATACTCCGCACAAATACATTGATATTTACATTATTTATGTTAATCTTTTAAGTCTAATTATCCCTACTTTACAGATCAGAAAACTAAAGCTCAGAGATTAAGTTCAGGCAGGAACACATGGTGGAGATAGCAGACCTGGGTATACTTGGAAGGCCTTCTTTTAAAAGTGTGAATTTGAATCCAGGTCTGTCACATTTCAGAGCCATACTACTATATGCTGCTTGAGATAATACAACAGTTAGAACAAAAACAATTTTTCCTGTTGACAATCTTAGCTTATTCTTTTCTTCTCCTAACTTGACCATACTAATATAGAAAATACATTCTAGGACCTGAAAGTATGTAGAAATCTATCTTCCCTTTACTTTTCATTTATAACACTCAGACTGAAATTTTCTGAATGAATTAGCAATCAATTTCATGAAACATTAGAAATTACACTGAAATCATGAGACGCCTTTATAAACAATGTAGAAAGAAGAATAAAATCACAAACAGGAATTTAAACTGGAAACCTAATTACTATAAAAAGTAGCTACAAACTGAGGAGCACTGCCCTCAGGACACCTGAAGACATTCCAAATGAAGGTGCTTATACTTTGAATCAATTTCCAGACACTCAACTTTATGTATTCTTCCTAAAACTGATTTGTGAGAATATCACCTCCTCTTTGATAATTGTTTTTCTCTTATTTTGGAATCAAATGACTTAATTCTCACCCATCTTTCATAGCCCTATAGTATTATGCATTATGGTTAAATCTAAAGCCAGAGAGTTCCATCACTCACTAGATAGCTGTGTAACCATAAGCAAATTAATTTAACTTCTCTATACAAGGAGGAAAGTAACAGTACATTAACCTCATATGTTGTTAAGGATTAGATTATGTTACTTAAAGTAATGTCTAGCACAAAGTAAGCACTATATAAATGTTAGCTACATTATTCTTATGGTGTAACAACATGTGGAACACTAAGGAGAGAATTAGAAACATCAGTGTCCATGTAGCCTCTTAACCTAATTATTATTGATATAGCTTCCTGTCAATTCCAGTATTTTATATATTAAAATTAAGGGCAAAGCTGGGCATTAGAAATTAGGTATTCTGGTTCTTCGGTTTGTTCTGAATTCAGATATATTGTAGAGTAATGATAATTTTGCTTAATACCCTTGCCTCCTCAACTCCTTTCAAAGAATGTATTACTTCTGAGGCAGAATCCCGTGTAAACAAACTACAGAAAATATTTGAAAGAATTATCAAAGGTGGGCCAGGTGTGGTGGCTCGTTCCTGTAATCCCAGCACTTTGGGAGGCTGAAGTGGGTGAACTGCTCAATCCCAGGAGTTTGAGACTGCCTGGGCAACATAGGAAAATCCTATCCTTACAAAAAATACAAAACTTAGCCAGACTTGGTGGCATGTACTTATAGTCCCAACTACTCAAGAGCCTGAGGTAGGGGGATCAATTGAGCTCGAGAGGTCAAGGCTGCAGTGAGCCAGGTTGTGATTGCGCCACTGCACTCCAGTCTGGGTGACAGAGTGAGATCCCTTCTCAAAAACAACAAAAAAAGAAAGTAAAAGTATGCAAGGTGGTGATATCTTATTTCATTCAGATTACAAACTTATGGCACATTTAACTGTTAAAATTCTGAAGGAAAGAAGATGTCATAGTAACATACTAACATACTTCCTCAAACTGAAAAAAAAACAAAATTGGACTTTTTATAAGTAACAGAAAGAGTCTGATTAAGCAACAGACTTTTGTTAATAAAAACAATCTTTACTAGGTTACATGGCAGACATTTTCCATAAATCAGCTGAGGTAAATCTGCAGTGTCAAGATTTTCACAAAAATATATTTGAAGTATATGATAAAAAGCACTAAACATCAAATACATTGTACTGGTCTTGAAATGAAGAATATTTCAATTTTCCTAACCCAATAATCCTCAAAATACAGTCCCTGGACTGCAACATCATCATCTTATGGAAACTTGTTAAAAATGAAAATTCTGTGACCAGCCTGGGCAACATGGTGATATATCATCTCTATAAAAAATAAAAAAAATTAGCTGGATGTGGTGGTGGCTACCTCTAGTCCCAGTTAGGAGGCTGAGGTGGAAGGAGCCTTGAGCCCCGGTGGTAGAGGATGCAGTGAGCTGAGACAGCATCACTGCACTTCAGCCTGGGCAACAGAGTGAGACCGTGTCTTAAAAAAAAAAAACAAAAACAAAACTCAGGTCCCACCTGATCCAGAAACTCAGGGTATATAGCCCAGAAACCTTTATTTTAATAAGTCTATCAGATGATTCTGATTTACCCTAAGGTTTAAGAACCACTGTGCTAAAACTTCTTGAATGTATCAGGTACACAAGATGCTTCTAAGTAAAACAGTAGCAAGTATAATTTATAATCATAACTTGTTAATATCTTTTTGATATATTTTCCAGAAACTTAACAAAAAAAGGCCTCTAAAGACAGAACAACAAATATTCAAGCAAGTTAGGTACTTGTTAATTCTTTGACTTCAACAAAAACAAAGGCGAACTCAAGTTTTCAGATGATTGTAAAAAAAATAAGCTTAATATCTTTTAGATAATTCTGAAGTTCAACAAACTGTCTATTTTCATCTATTTAATGATGCAAACTAGATTTTTTAATTTATATCTATAAAAAGGGAAATAGAGATATGATTAATACTAACTCCAGTTTCGTTCTAGCAATAATAGTCACTGAGACATATACTGAATTAATAGCTTCTAGAGAATAAGAGACTTATTCATCTTATTAAGAGGCAGATTTCAAGTAAATTTTTGTTTAATAATTTCTTTTATTTCTTTGAGACAGAGTCTCACTCTGTTGCTAGGCTGGAGTGCAGAGGTGTGATCTTGGCTCACTGCGACCTCTGCCTCCTGGGTTCAAGTGATTTTCTTGCCTCAGACTCCCGAGTAGCTGGTGATGGCACGCATTACCATGCTCAGCTTGTTTTTTTTGTATTTTTAGTAGAGACAGGGTTTCACCATGTTGCCCAGGTTGGTCTTGAACTCCCGACCTTATGATCTGCCTGCCTCAGCCTCCCAAAGTGCTGGGATTACAGAGGTGAGCCACCACACCTGGCCTTCTTTAGTAATTATTTATAAAAACTTACAACATATTTACTTTTTGATGTATCATTTATTACTAAAACCTGTAACGATAAAATACATGCATGTGCATACACACACACACACACACACACACACACACATATATAAACGCGTATGTGTGTATGTATGTGTAGATAGATAGATAGATAGATAGGGTCTTGCTCTTTTTCCCAAGGTGGATGCAGTGACACATTCATAGCTCACTACTGCCTTTGACTCCCTAGGCCCAAACTGGGACTACAGATGTGCATCACCATGCTCAGCTGATTTTTTTCCCTGATTTTGTAGAGATGGAGTCTCACTATGTTGCCAGACTGGTCTCAAACTCCTGGCCTCCAGTGATCCTTCTGCCTCAGCCTCCCAAAGTGCTAGGATTACAGGTGTGAGCCACAGTGCCTGGCCAAATGAAATTTTAAAAATTTCGATCTTTATAGAACAAAAAATTGGACAACTTAAAAAATGTCTATTTTGTAGCTAAAAAGTACTGATAGGGTGATGAATGAAAGAATATCAAACATAAAATGTATTATGTCAGGATAAAACTGTGAAGATATTGGAATATGAGTTCAAGGTGAAAACGTTGCAAAATTTCTGATGTTAAAGAATTTGTGTATTTTAAAAAATGAACGAGGGTATCAAGATTCCACTGGATGCAAAAAACACTGTTATTTATTTTCTTTTAAAAATGTAGTTTAATATACATGAAGAAAATACATACTTTGCAACTATTTAAATTATGATAGAGATTTAGATGTTAACCTAAAAATGGGTAAAAGGTTATAAAAGTTTTCAAAGGGACTGAGAGAAGTGAGTAAAAAGTTTAAAGATGATAATTCCATAAGAAAGCAGCATTAAACTATGTGGGGGACTAGCTAAATCACAATGAATAACCAATCAAACAATTTAAAGTTGTCATTCAAGAAGAGCACAAGTAATAAAGTGCTCTCCAGCTGGAAATTAACTCTTTTCAATCCCTAGAGGTCTAGTCTCATCTCTATGAAGAACTACTACATAAATGAATAGCCATAAACTCTCAAGGCTTAAATTCATTCATTTGCCAAATGAGGACCAAATTTTAGGTTGGGAAATAGGTTCACTTGTTGAGATCAAAAGAACTGTGATGGTCAAAGGCTAACCACATAGCAAAAAATAGTCTTCCTCAAATCACCTTTGAGTATTCACTGATGTTTTATAAATTTCCCTAACACTGCTCCTTTATTTCCATCAATTAATTTAATCTTCAGTTTCTTTTTTGATGATAAAAAACATTCCCACCACCTACTTAACTAGCAATATGAACCGTTTCATTTCTTCATCAACGTTAAGAAACCATTAATATTCTGACCAAAGATTCCTCAATATGAATTGACTGTTTAACGTCTATTACCTGTAGTTGAAAGCTCATTGAATAGACTGGCAGTCAAAATTATTTATTTTGTGCCTTCTGTTATTTGTCCAGTTCTGTTAGGTGGATCCAAGTTAGTTGAGTAAACATTTGACAAAAATCTACCATACACTTCAGAAGGACAAAATAGAAATCCATGTAATATATGGAACATATTAGACACTTTGCATAAAGGGCATAATTTTCATACTATAAGCTGGAGTAGAAGATAAACTGGGACCATGAATGAATTTGAGAACAGACAGCTAGACCTGATGACAGTTCAATCATAAGCATTGGCAATTGAAAAGGCTAGGTATTTAGGAAGACTCAACAAGATTTGGTGAATGGATGTGATGGCTAAAGATTAAGGAGAGTAAAATTTCTGGTTTTGGGCTAGCGAAGGAGGATGAGAGAGAACTAAATGCATTTCTAGCTGAAAAGAAAAAGTGAGTAAAGAAAAAGAGGTTTAAGATACAGGATCAAGGAGATAGGAAAGACTGATATTCAGAGTAAGTTTCAGAAGAAATTAGCATCTCTTTCTGAAATAAGCAGAAGCTGAAGGAAAATGACTCCAGATGCTACTAAGTTTGTAACTGAAGGAGTAAGAAGTTGAAGAAATTCATTCTACATAGCCTCTGTATCAATTGCAAAGTGAGAATTCAGATCAGTTAAGAAAAGGAGCATTCTCCATTCAAAACACACAAAGAAAGAGAAGTGTCTTGGGGACAGCAGGAGGTGAGCGGCTAGGAAATGGAAGGGTAGGTGAGATGCAAGATATATTTTTAGGACAAACCAAGGTAGAGAAAGCACTCTAAAAAAAGGCTGAGAATGGTAAAATATGAAAAATGACTCATAATGAGCCAGGAGAAAGGAGTTCAAGGACTGAAGAGAATTCTGGTTATTACACATGTCTGCACTAAAATTACAGTTAAGTTAAAGGAAATTGAGCTAAGAGACACTAGAAATGGTGCAAAAATGCAGGTATACATGCTTGTAAGTGTGTATATACATATGTGTATGTGTCTTCTCCTAGGCTGTTGATTCTGTGGTGTTGGTTCCAAGATTTAGGAATGTTAGTATTCTGTACCCTGATGATCACCTGAGAAAATTATAAGGTAATATATGAATAATCTATTCCTGGCATGTCAATTTTCCATGACCAAAATCACAAATAATATGCCTAATGGGGTACTTATAGCTATCTTAATGTGAATGCCTAATCCACCACCACATTACTCTAAATCCTGCCCAACTTAATTTTCCTATTATATTATTCTTTCTCTGAGCTCACCTTGATCCTGCTACTCCTGGAATGTGTAATATCTAAGAAATTAGAGTACATATCCAGATTCTCCTTTGGCCTACTCTACTGTACAATTATCAGTTCTCTATACTGCACATTGCAATTTATTTAGGATCAAATCTTATATACCCATAAACATATTGAAAAAGAGTATGTAAAAACACTAACCTGGGGTAGATGCTACATGAGTCTGGGTTTGGACTTGCTCTATAGCTTGTGGCCTAATTTCAGATAAAATTTGATGACTAGAACTTGGGTGTTCAACGAGTTTTACCGCAGCTAGTGCTTCAGGGCCAAACATCTGAATATCCATAGAAACCAGACACACTAACATGTCTAAAATAAATAAAAAGCAATAGTTATTAGTCAACAAAATTATAAACCAATGTCATCACTGGTGAAACACAAGTTGTACAGAATACTGCTTCTTAAATGCTCGTCTATGAATCACGGTACATCAGAATTACCTGTGAATCTTAAAAAAAAAAAAAGATTTTTAGGCTCAATCTCTGAAGACTGATTTAATAGCTCTGTAGTGGGAGCTGGATATCTATCTATCTATATATTTTTTAATCTTTTTTTGTTTGCTTTTTTTGTTTTCAGAAAGGGTCTTGTTCTGTCACCTCGGCTGGAGTGCTGACACGATCACAGCTCACTGCAGCCTCAACCTCCCAGGCTCAAGGGATCCTCCCATATCAGCCTCCCTCCCTGGGAACTACAGGCATGCACCACTACATCCAGCTGATTTTATTTCTTTTTCATACAGATGAGATCTCACTATGTTGCCTATGGTAATCTTGAACTGGGCTCAAGCAATTCTCTTGCTTTGGCCTCCCAAAGTGCTAGGATTATAGCTGTGAGCCACCATGCCCAGTCTTGGATATCTATATACTTGAAAAGATTCTCAAGTGATTCTGATGTATAGCCAGATTTAAGAACCACTGATATAAAAAGTGACACATTAATTTCTCAATGATAACAGTTTTCAAGCTGAATCTTTATTAATTCTGATTTGAGTATTTATTATACATAAGAAAGATGTCATTTTAATAACCAAGTAAAACATCAGCATGGCATGTCTAAGTATATTTAAAACTGACAGCACTTATGGAGGTAAGTTCATTGATTTTTAAAGACTGCAGCACTACCAGCAACTTCTAGGAATAGAAGGAAACTTGTTTCACTTAATTTTAGTTGTTTAATAGAGTAGCTGGCCATATGAAACAGAAAGACTTGCTCTCAAGAAGTTAGATATAGCAGTTTTGTAAATTTCAAATTTAATATGTAACAACAGAAATTAAGAAATGAAAGAGGAATTACTGATAGCCATGTAATCCTGGTCTCTAAATTACAGATACTTCTTGCTCATGTACAACAGGCAGAAAGAAAAAGGGAAACAAGTATGCCTGAGGAGGTAATGACTCTTCAAAATAAAACAAGAAACCCCAAATATAAATGAGGATTTTGTACTGTACCATATTCAACATTTTTCATCAATAAAGAAAATAATTTAAGTGTTTTTTTGGTCCAGTCTTACCTATGCTCTTTTCTACTTTTGCAATTTTTGTGCAAGCAACATCTCCCATTTCAGTGAGCATGTATAGCACCTCGAGTGTTGAGATTACAAGCAGCACATCAGGTAAAGTGAGATGACAAATGATCTCTCTATATGAATCCTGATCCACATATTCACAAATTAAAACACCATTATCTTCTGCTTTGCAAAGATTTCCCAAAATTTCCATGCCTAAAAAATACACAAATATATATATTTTTTAAATGATACAGTTTGTTTACTTTAGACAATAAATACGTCAATGAAAACTCACCTCTCATCTTTAAAAATCTATCCCTTGACATTAGACATTTTGTAACAGTATGAAACATCAGATGAGTAGTTTTGAAATCAACAGGGTCCAATAAAAGCTGGAAAAAGAAACAACACTACTATTGAGGTATGCTTCTTTCAGAGTTGTGTATTTCAAATTTAATAAAAATAAAAAAATAAACAGGACAATGTTGAATAACTTTAAAAATATATATAATTATTGCAAAAATAGCCATCACTGAATTTAAAGCATCATTTCAAATATTTTTTTCCATGTGTGATACTTCTAAACCACCATTTTTAGCATCTAATACATGTAAGCATTTAACAGTCTATAAATATAGCAACTATAAAATGCCACATCCTAAAATTTTAAAATAAATGTCACTAACTATAAAAACTAGTTTAAGGTACCATCACATGCTTACCTCAGCTGCAATGTTTCCTAATGTGTCAAGGCCTAATTGCCTTAAAGAAATAAAATGACTATGTGCAGAAAGTAATAGGAAACGAAGACAGGTACGATTAGCTGCCAAGAGCTTAACATTGCCCTCCTCAAAGGAAAGATTTCGCAAAATCACTGCAATCTGAAGTACCCGCTGTCCTTCAATATCGTTAATGCCCAGCTTTCGAGGTGGATGAAATAAAGACTCCCAAATCCATTCTCCTGATGTTCCTTCTATAACAGAAAATAAATATTTCACTTAAATTGATATTTCACTTAAATTGATATTTCATTTATTATTAACATTTCAAAAATTCTGAATAATTTTGCTTTCACTAACTTACCATGAGACTTGTTTCTGTCAGAAATGAGGTCACGAACTTCATTATCATCAACGATGTCTTTCCAAAACTGTAATAGAAATTATTATATTTAATTCTTATGATTTGAAACAACTATTCTATTACTTTAGAAATAGTCACACACAAGCCAGGTATGGTGGCTCATGCCTGTAATCCTAGTACTTTAAGAGGCCAAGGTGGGAGTATCACTTGAAGCTGGGAGTTCAAGACCTTCCTAGGCAGCAAACCGAGACCCTAACTCTACAAAATAGAAAATTAGAAACATTATCCAGGACTGGTGGCACATGCCTGTACTCCCAGCTGCTTGGGAGGCTGAGGCAGGAGAATCACTTGAGGTCTGGAATTAAAAGCTGCAGTGAGCTGTGATTGTGCCACTGCACTCCAGCCTGGGCAACAAGGTGAGATCCCATCTGAAAATTAAATTTAAAAGTAATTTCTAAAAAATAGTCACACAATATGAAAATAATGTTTCTACTTATTTTTAGTTCATGTGGATACTGCTACATTCTAGGGAATTAATTCTTTGATATAAATACTTGATTGTCCGTAGTTTCAGATACTTATGTTAAAAAGTCATCTTTTTATGAACCTGAGGGACACAGACCCCTGAGAGAACTGTGAAAGAAATCAGAAAATCTGTGAACTTGGATGGGAAAAATGACATCTCTATGTACATTAAACATTACTGGAAAATTAACATTTCTTTAGAATTTATTCAACTCTGAAGATTAAACAATGAACTATAGTAATATTAATATACAGTAGCTGTGCTATCATGTGTATATCTCAAAACAACTGGGTTTTTTTTGGAATCAAACTTCTTAGGCATTTAAAACCTATTGGAAAAAGGCTTACTGGCCTCATGGGATCATCAAGAAAATCCACTGCACAAAAAATCCATGACAAACAATCTGTGGTAGTAATAAAAAAGATGTAGGCACACTTTTTTAAAAAGTCAATATTCAATAACCAAGAAAAAAGGGCCACAGGAATTCAGATATTAAAGATATCTGACACAGAACTTAAAATGACTATGAATAGCAAGTTCAAAGAAGTAAAATACTAAAAATGTTGGCAACGGAATGAAAACCATATGAAAGAATTAAAAGGGAATTTTACAACTGAAAAACACAACTAAAATTAAGAATTCAGTGGATATGTTTAAGAACTGATTAGAAACATCCCAAGAGTGAATTCATGAACAAGAAGAGAGGACAAGAAAATAAGTTTGAAATATAAAGAGAAAAAGGGATGAAGAAGGGTAAAAAGTGTATGAGACATTAGGCACACAGTGAAAAGCTCTAACATACAAATTGGAATTCTTGAAGAAGAGAAAGAAAGCGCAGATATAATATGTGAAAATATAAGGGCAGAGAATAGTCTAAAACAACTCAAAGATGTTAGCATATATTTTCAAGAAGCACTACAAACTCCAAGAAAGATAACTAAAAATGTGTGGAAACATCATCATTAAACTCCTGAAGAACAAAGAGAAAAATCATAAATGAAGAAAAACAAGAACAACAAAAAAAACAAATAACTTAAAAAGAACAATCAAAATAGCAGCAAATAATGGGATATTTTCAAAATGATGGAAGAAAATAGCTGCCTACGTAGAACTTTTCTTTCGTTTTGTTTTTCTGAGACAGGGTCTCACTCTATCACCCAAGCTGGAGTGCAATGGTGCAATCTCGGCTTACTGCAACCTCTGACTCCCAGATTCAAGCAATTCTCCTGTGTCAGCCTCTCAAGTAGCTGGAATTACAGGCACACACCACCACGCCCAGCTAATTTTTGGGATGACAGGTGTGAGCCACCGTGTCCAGTCTGCCAACATAGACTTTTTAAACAGTGAAATTGTTCCTCAAGAATGAAGGTGACACACAAACATCTTCTGACAAATAAAAATCAAAAAAGCTCATTATCTACAATCTAATGAAGAATAAATGGTAAAGGTAAATGCGGTTAAGCAAAATTAAAACACTTTTAAAAAGTCATGGAATTAAAAAAAAAAAGTTAGTTTAAAATTTAGAAAAATGCTTCCAAGTGACCATTTGTTTAGGCCATATGGACTATGGTACTAAAGTAGTCATCCTACCAAAAACCAACATGTATGAAAAAATTTTCAGAGATTGAAAAACAGGTAATGCAAGATAGTAATCACTAAACAAGAGAAACAAATGAGGTTATTCCAATGATTGACTGATATTTCTATTTGGACATTAATTCTAGACTAAAGCATAGTAAGAAGAAAGCCAAGATATCACAGTGATTGCTATGCTGAAAATACTGAAAAGAGCACCACAAAGCTAAGGAGGCTAGAATTTGAGAGCAAATTTCCAATAAGGGAAGAGTTATGAAGAGAAAGACCTCCATGTATCTACATATGTATACTTTGAGTTAATTGCTAAGTACTGAGCTACATAGATGTATGCTCAAACTCCATAATGCTAGGCAAAAAAATGGAGAGAACAATTATAAGGAGCTATAATTAAACAATTCCTAGAATAGAGAAAACTCATATACACCTAGCTCATCCAGGAGAAATTCCCAAAATGTCATACCTAAGTGGAAGGAATAAACAAGCCCTAGAGCAAAGGCTAATCTACATCTATCATAACAAAGCTTTAAAACAACCCTACTATGATAATCCATATATGAAATCACAGCCAGCTAAAACAAAGTTCAACATTCTGGAAAAACACCAAAGTTCAGACACTCAACAATGTCACACTCACAACACTCACATCTAACAAAAAATTACCATACCTACAAAGAAATGAGGAAACATCACCCATAACCAAGACAAAAATCAGTTTCAAGAAAAGATACTGAAACAATAAAGATCATAAGAAAATTAATTAGAAAAAATGAAAGTGTAATATCCACAATTAAGTACACAGAAAACAAAACAGGTCTAAAAACAATGAAAAGAGCTTTGGTGACCTGTGGAACACCATCATGATCTAATAGTAACCATGGGGTCTGGTTCCAGGACTCTCTAAAGATACCAAATCTGCCAGATGCTCAAGTTCCTCGTGTAAAATGATGTAGCGGTATAGTATAATCTACAAACATCCTTCTGAATACTTTAATTACAGTATACCTAATACAATGTAATGTGATGTAAATACTTTTTATACTGTCTTCTTTCTATTTTTTATTTTTATTACCTTCTACTCTTTTTTAAATTGCTTTTTTTCTAAATATTTCAATCTGTGGTTAGCTAAATCTATGGATGCAGAACCCAAGAATTCAGAGGGCAGACTATAAATATAGCACCAGAAAAGGAAGAGAGTTTTGGGTGTGGTGGTCCTATAGTCCCAGCTACTTGGGAGGCTGAGGCAGGAGGATCGCTTGAGCCCACGAGTTCAAGGTTGCAGTGAGCTATGATTGAGCCACTGCACTTCAGCCTGTGAAGCGAAGAAAGATCCTGTCTCTAAAACAAACAAGCAAACAAAAAACAAGACAGGAAAGAAAAAAATTTGAAGAAGTGATTGTGAAAAACTTCCAAATTTTACGCAAGATACCAAATCATAGATCCAAGAAACTAAATGAACCCCCAAGTAAAATAAGCAATGAAAACTGCAAGGCATATCATAACCAAATTAAATATCAGTAATAAAGAGAAAATATTAAAAGCAGAGAGAGACTGGGCATGGTGGCTCAAGCCTGTAATCCCAGCACTTTGGGAAGCCAAGGTGGGTGGATCAACTGAGGTCAGGAGTTCGAGACCAGCCTGGCCAACATGGTGAAACCCCGTCTCTATTTAAAAAGAAAAAAAAAAAGCAGTGAGAGACTACAACATATATAGAAGAGCAATAAGAACAAAATTGACTTCTTGTCAATAACAATGCTATCTTTAAAGTGTTCACATAAAACCCTAAAATCTACAGTTTTATATCCTTCAAAAATATCCTTCAAACATGAAGGCAAAATAAAATTTTTAGATAAAAGTTGTGAGCCTAATCTCAATTACATCATTAATTTCCTTAAGTGTAAATAGGCTTAATGCACTTACTTAAAGGCAGAAATTGCCAACAAGGCAGACTGTGAGGAGGAGTTTCAAGTGCTAACTAGATGTTGTCTATAAGAAACACTATATGTAAAAACAGATAAAAACTATAAAGATGGAAAAAATATATTATGATAACATAATAAGAAAGTTGTAGCTAAATCACACATAATGTTTTTAAAACGTTAATTTACCAGGAAAATAAAACAACTGTAAATATGTATACAACTAATAAAGGTTCAAAATACATAACGTAAAAACTGACAGAACTGAAAGGATATATAAACATTCATAATTAAGGTTGATTATTTCAACGCTCTTCTCTCAGGAAATTATAGAACAACTGAACTCATGGAGATGGGGAGTAGAAGCTTGGGGGAAGTGGGAATCGTTAATTGGTATAAAAATATAGCTGAACAGAATGAATAAGATTTAGTATTTGATAGCAAAACAGGGTGACTACAATAATTTACAGTATAGCTAAAAATAACGAAAAATGTATAAGTTAAATGTTTATAGCACAAAGAAATGATAAATGCTTGAGGTAAGGAATACCCCATTTACCCTGATGTGATTATGACACATTGTATATACCTGTTTCAAAATATCTCCTGTAACTCATAAATGTATGTACTTACTACATCTCCACAAAATATAAATAAATAACCCAGATATCAAAGAGGAAATCTAGTGGAAATGAGAAGATATTTTAAACTCAGTTGTAATGAACACATGACATATCAAAATTAGTAGAATAAAGTTAAAGCTGTGCTAGAGGGAATTTTGTTATCTTAACTGTATGTATTACAGTGTACATATTTAAAAAAAATAAAAACAACAATCAATCATGTAAGCATCAGCTCTAATTTCTAACAAGAAGTTAGAAAAAGTGCAGCAATAGAAAGATACATGAAGAGCAGAAATTAATGAAAACATATACAACAGCAGGAAACATCCAAACTTCTTTGATTATATTTCTGTCTTCTTCTAAGGTCTTTTTTTTCTTTTTGTGACACAGAGACTTGTTCTGTCAC